ACAAAATTATCATCATGGTCCATAGAGAAATTCTGATAAAAGAAATACAAAATTATCATCATGGTCCATAAAGAAATTCTGATAAAAGAAATACAAAATTTTCATCATTGTCCATAGAGAAATTCTGATAAAAGAAATACAAAATTATCATCATGGTCCATAGAGAAATTCTGATAAAAGAACAACAAAATTATCATCATGGGCCATAGAGAAATTCTGATAAAAGAAATACAAAATTATCTTCATGGTCCATAAAGAAATTCTGATAAAAGAAATTCAAAATTTTCATCATTGTCCATAGAGAAATTCTGATAAAAGAAATACAAAATTAACATCATGGTCCATAGAGAAATTCTGACAAAAGAACAACAAAATTATCATCATGGTCCATAGAGAAATTCTGACAAAAGAACAACAAAATTATCATCATGGTACATAGAGCAATTCTGATAAAAGAACAACAAAATTATCATCATGGTCCATAGAGCAATTCTGATAAAAGAAATACAAAAATATCATTATACTGTATGGTTTATATAGCAATTTACCAGTAATAATTCCCCGACTGATCCTTGATCTAACTACCACTCTTTGTTCACTGATGACTGTTATACATGTTTATAACCTGCTATACTCACTCTAGTTAATGGTGATAAACATGGAATATACACACAGAACAGACACAGGTGAACAATGACGTCAGGTAAGCTTTTGAATTTCTGTACACCATTTACAGCCAATTTCAGGTTCCATACCTAGTGTCATTTCCAAGAAAGTTGTCTGAGCCATTTTCTAATGGACTACAATTGTGTTTGATTCAGTTTCTCCTTCAAATAGCGAAGGGAGGTAATGAAATAGTTTGTCCAGTTTATCACGGAGTGGGGAAGGGAGTTCCTGAAATCATGTCCAGTATACCAGACAACGAGGAAGGGAGTCCCTGAAATCATGTCCAGTTTACCAGACAACGAGGAAGGAAGTCCCTGAAATCATGTCCAGTATACCAGACAACGAGGAAGGGAGTCCCTGAAATCATGTCCAGTATACCAGACAACAAGGAAGGGAGTCCCTGAAATCATGTTCAGTTTACCAGACAACGAGGAAGGAAGTCCCTGAAATCATGTCCAGTTTACCAGACAACGAGGAAGGAAGTTCCTAAGATCATGTCCAGTATACCAGACAACGAGGAAGGAAGTCCCTGAAATCATGTCCAGTATACCTGTCAACAAGGAAAGGAGTCCCTGAAATCATGTCCAGTATACCAGCAAACAAGGAAGGGAGTCCCTGAAATCATGTCCAGTTTGCCAGACAACGAGGAAGGAAGTCCCTGAAATCATCTCCAGTATACCAGACAACGAGGAAGGAAGTCCCTAAAATCATGTCCAGTATACCAGACAACAAGGAAGGGAGTCCCTGAAATCATGTCCAGTATACCTGTCAACGAGGAAGGGAGTCCCTGAAATCATGTCCAGTATACCTGTCAACAAAGAAGGAAGTCCCTGAAATCATGTCCAGTATACCTGTCAACAAAGAAGGAAGTCCCTGAAATCATGTCCAGTATACCTGTCAACAAGGAAGGAAGTCCCTGAAATCATGTCAAGTATACCAGACAACGAGTAAGGGAGTCCCTGAAATCATGTCCAGTATACCTGTCAACAAAGAAGGAAGTCCCTGAAATCATGTCCAGTATACCATACAACGAGGAAGGAAGTCCCTGAAATCATGTCCAGTATACCTGTCAACAAAGAAGGAAGTCCCTGAAATCATGTCCAGTATACCTGTCAACAAAGAAGGAAGTCCCTGAAATCATGTCCAGTATACCTGTCAACAAAGAAGGGAGTCCCTGAAATCATGTCCAGTATACAAGACAACGAGGAAGGAAGTCCCTGAAATCATGTCAAGTATACCAGACAACGAGGAAGGAAGTCCCTAAAATCATGTCCAGTATACCTGTCAACAAGGAAAGGAGTCCCTGAAATCATGTCCAGTATACCAGCAAACAAGGAAGGGAGTCCCTGAAATCATGTCCACTATACCTGTTAACAAGGAAGGGAGTCCCTGAAATCATGTCAAGTATACCAGACAACGAGGAAGGGAGACCCTGAAATCATGTCCAGTATACCAGACAACTAGGAAGGAAGTCCCTGAAATCATGTCCAGTATACCTGTCAACGAGGAAGGGAGTCCCTGAAATCATGTCCAGTATACCAGACAACAAGGAAGGAAGTCCCTGAAATCATGTCAAGTATACCAGACAACGAGGAAGGGAGTCCCTGAAATCATGTCCAGTATACCTGTCAACAAAGAAGGGAGTCCCTGAAATCATGCCCAGTATACCAGACAACGAAGAAGGAAGTCCCTGAAATCATGTCCAGTATACCAGACAACGAGGAAGGGAGTTCCTAAAATCATGTCCAGTATACCAGACAACGAGAAAGGAAGTTCTTGAAATCACAATCAGTATACCAGACAAAAAAGGGAGTTTCCTAAATCTGATCTGATATACTAGACAACAGTACCTAAAGAGTGAAGTTAGTCAACCAGAGAAATGCCTTTCACTGCAATGTAAAACTTCAGGTGAGGTGATTAACTGAAGAAGAAAACATTAGTGACAGGCTTATGTGAGATTGAACTTCAAACTTTCGTTGCTATGTACATATTAAAAAAGTGATTTCTTAACCAGTTAATTACTAGGAATTTAAAAAGCATATCTTCTTGTGACATAGTCAACTCATTGTCAGAAGGGAAATTGAAAAGCTGTTCTGAAATTTGATCTCCATACCATATTTCCATCAAACAATAACAATTTGGTGAGAGAGAGTTTTTAGATACAATATTCCTCTTCTAATATGTACATAGTCTGTTGATGTTCCTACCTTGTTTCTTCCTTCCCTTTACTATATAGTAAGAAATTCTGTTATAACTAATGTTAAATTCTATTTTACTACAGTTCACTCCAGATTTTTTATACTTATAAGAGCTTACTTAAAGTGGTTATTGATACTTTTTACAGCTCACTAGAGATTTTTTTTATCTTTACTACATTTCCCTATAGTTTTTTTTTTATATTTATCACAGGTTACTACAGCCTTTGTTTTTATATTTATCATAGCTCCCTAGAGACTTTTAATATTTACCCAAGCTCACTACAGATTTTTTTGTATTTAGTACAGTTCCCTATAGATTTTTTATATTCATCCCAGCTCAGTAGATTTTTTTTATATATTTATTACAGTTCCCTATTGACTTTATAATTATCACAGCTCACTACAGATTTTTTTTATATTAATCATAGCTCCCTATTGACTTTTTATATTTATCCCAGCTCACTACAGATTCTTTTATATTTATCATAGCTCCCTAGAGACTTTTTATATTTATCATAGCTCCCTAGAGACTTTTTATATTTGTCATAGCTCCCTGGAGATTTTTTATGTTCATCCAAGCTCATTACAGATTTTTTTTTATATATTTATTAGTTCCCTATAGACTTTTTATATTTATCCCAGCTCACTACAGATTTTTTTATATATTTATTACAGTTCCCTATAGACTTTATATATTTATCCCAGCTCACTACAGATTTATTTTGTATTTATCATATATCCCTAGAGATTTTATATATTTATCCCAGCTCACTACAGATTTATTTTATATTTATCATATATCCCTAGAGATTTTATATATTTATCCCAGCTCACTACAGATTTTTTTGGTATTTACTACAGTTACTTTTAGACTTTTTATATTTATTTACGCTCACTACATGTTATTTTATATTTACTACAGTTCCATATAGACTTTTTATATTTATCCCAGCTCACTACAGATTTGTTTTGTATTTTCTACAGTTCCTTTTAGACTTTTTATATTTATTTAAGCTCACTACATGTTATTTTATATTTACTATAGTTCCATATAGACTTATTACATTTATCCTAGCTCACTACAGGTTATTTTACATTTCCCTATAGATTATTTTTCAAACTTATCACAGTTCTAGAGATTTCCTCAAGTATAATAAAAAGGGAATCCCCATGACATAAACCAGTATCATAATACAAATTCTGAAATTATCATTTGCCTGAAAACTTTAAAAACATGATTTTTGAATAGAAAGTTAAATATACAAAACAAGTAACAAAAATTTGACTTTCCAACACCATTGGTTTGACCCCTTGATATCCTCCATATCAATAAAAGCATTCTAGTCCAAATACTGAAGTGTTTATTACTGAATATCAACTTTTGTTATTATTAAAATGGTGTTTTTAGAAAAGATTATTTAAATTCAACAGAGGTAAAAAAATATTTAAAAAATTTGGAACCCAAGGAAACCTCCATGCCAGACTCCGGTTCTTTTGAACAAGTGTACAGTATTTAAAATAGAATGATTTAATTTAGCTACACCAATGATTCAATATGTACCAACTCTTCATTATCAAACATGTTAATGGAAACCTTACTTTTCTGCAAACAGTCTTTGATAACATACCGTAGTCGTGTGTAAACAGAGCTGACCGGGCCTGGTCAAAGCTGACCTCGCTCTCTGTCCCATCCAGCATCTTGTGAAGGATTTCATCAATGATTTCGTCCATACTGATTTTGTTGAGGTCCAACAGGAGCACTGTATTGTTGAGGAAACGCTGGATGTCCATAGCCGCACGTATCTCTAGAGAGAAGTCCTTCAGGGGCAGTTTCTACAGACAGTAAACATCAATGTGTTACAGGGCTTTCATTACTGTCGTAATCACTATACCCAGTAGCTATATACAGAGTAACCTGAACTGACTTTAAGGAAGCGACTGTCACATCTTTCCTACTGTAGATATAAAGGCATTAAAAATGTTTTTTCATACATATATATATATATTTAATTATTTTGTTTATTTATGTCTCATATTGCAGGCAAATTCAGGGATTTATGGGACGTTTTTGATGTATTCCAAGAAAAATATTATAACAAATATTACTTTTGGTAGCACATATAGTGGATAGGCTCTACTTTATAATCATGAATCTTAATGACTTTATTTCTTTCATGTATAACTATTTTCTTTATGTAGTAAATGGTCAAGCGACTCAAAGTTAGAGAAAAATCAAACTGGAACTCTTCTTCCATTGCAAAGCATCACAGATCAAGTTCTGGGACTCCCTGCCTTAATGACATCCTGTACAGATCATGTAATAGAGGACATGCTTTTAATGTCCAAATTGTAGTGTCTGTCCCCGTCCATACACTAACTGTGTTATCTGACCCAATGTTTCTGTCCCTGTCCATACACTGACTGTGTTATCTGACCCAATGTTTCTGTCCCCGTCCATACACTAACTGTACGTGTTATCTGACCCAATGTTTCTGTTCCTTGTTAGTCTTACCTCGTGCCGGGAGTACATCAGGGTCAGGCCGTTCTCATCTGTAAACAATCAACAAAGTGATGTCAACACAGGGCATACAAATCTCTCACTGCCTCACATGTTCTTTAATCCATCATCTTATCAGAAATACTTTCTAAGTTTCTACAATTAATCAATTCTATCTACATAACAATCATATATACACACACACATACAAACTGTCAAAGCACAGACAGAGCCACTTTTCAGCGACTCCTTAAATTACGATTTGAAATAAGTTTTGTCAATTTGATGGGACACAAATATCTAATAACAGACTACTTGGTACAGATATAGACCAATTTTATTTCTAACATATATGGCAAATGTGACACGAGCATATTTTTGTCATGTTGGGTTGCAGCAACCAAACTATTTCCAAAAAAATTGTTGTGTTCTTAACTTTGATACACAAGAAGTGATAACCCCTAAATAGTTATATTGGGGTTTTAACAAAGTGATTCAGAACATCTAGATCTTAAGAAAATGTTCTAGTTAAAATTCAATAAATAACAGTAAAACTTAGCAAGTAACTTTATAATCAAACACATAACTTTTTAATTCTAATCTAAATTAAATTTTGTTATTTAACCAGTAACTTTATAATTCAACAGCTAAGTGCATCATTACATATAAGTAAATTCATACCTTGAACTAACTGTATTAAGTATCCGGTAACTCTATAATATACAGTTAAATTTATCATCTAACCGTTAAATTTAATGTATAATTAACAACTACGCTCATAATTCAACATTGTAGATTATTTTTTACAGGGCTCCTTCTGAACCATACTCCAGTAATGAGCTCCTCAAACTACATGTTTATTATCTACTAGATATTATTCCAAAACTGAAACCGTGATTACTTTTGAGATATGTGTCATGCAAGTGATATTTACGAAGCAAACAAACCAGAAAAGAAACACAATGTGAAATGCCATACCATAGTTATTACTAATTGTATACAAAAACAAAAAAGTCAATAAATATAACACTAAACCTTAATTAGCTACTTTAAATATATAAAAACTCAATATAGAAACAATAAACTGCAGCTACTGCTAAATATACAAGAGTACTGCGGGGCGAACAATACATATCCCGTCAAATGCCATATAGTGTTATATACTTTCTTACAGTGAAATAAGATCTGCATCATTCTTAGAGTGGTTAGCCGACATGCTATAAAAATTGTAGAAGAAAATCTCCGGACAAAAAATCAAATACTGAAATGAACAAAGGGCAATAACTTTGGCAAAAATCGTTGAATCAAAATTCTTTGAAGCAAGACATAACTTCATATCATGATTATAATGTATACCAAGTTTCAAAGAGATCCTTAAAAAAAATTATAGGACGAGATAGCCGGACAAAAATCAAATACTGAAATAAACAAAGAGCAATAACTTTTGGAAAAATTGTTGAATCAAAATTCTTTTCAGGGAGACACAACTTCATATCATGATTGTAATGTATATCAAGTTTCAAAGAGATCGGTCGAAAAATGTAGGTGGAGATTGCTGGACAAACAAAAATTTACGCCGGCCGGCCGGACAACCCCATACCATAATACTTCCGTCAAAGATGGCGTATGAAAAGAGCAATATAAAAACATTGTACCGTAGCTACTGTAAAATGTGTACTAACTCAATGTAAAATCACTAGCTCAATATGCATAAAAAAACTTTTTTTTTTTACCACAGTTACTACTGAATACATACGAAAACTGGCAGTTGCATTTGACAGAAGCATGCTTGAAGCAATGAGAGGCACAGGCGGCTAATTGAGGGACAGACTGACAGAGTGTAGACCTATATTTCCCCCATAGTACCCGTGGGACCAAAAGTCTAACCATACCAAATCCTACATGAAGCTCATGAATATGTAACTGTCTACTTTTTTGCATTTTTTTTTCACAAATATTAGTTTCAACTAAATTTTGTAGCCAATATTGTTAATATCCCACATCCCACTCATCAGGTTTTCAAGCAATGTAACACCCCCCAGATAGTGAAGGGTTGTCCAATAGCATCCAGATAGGTCAGTATGTTACACCCCCCAGATAGTGAAGGGTTCTCCAATAGCATCCAGATAGGTCAATATGTACCCCCCCCAGATAGTGAAGGGTTGTCCAATAGCATCCAGATAGGTCAATATGTAACACCCCCCAGATCCTGAAGGGAATTGTCCAATAGCATCCAGACAGGTCAATATGTAGGTGTCGGGTACCCAAAGTATATCACACAATGAAAGAACAACAAAAATATTAAAAAGGAAGAAAAAGAATTCATGCACAGCTCAATTGTTTCTTTATCTAACTATGACTCTAGGGGAACAAAACTGAAAACAGGAGAAATTTTGCTTTTCTGAAACAGATTTTGTTGTTAATTTTTCAATGTAGTGGGCAGAAAACCTGTATAAGTGTGTCAAAACTATTTTATAGATAATTACATATTCTAAGCTTATTCTAAGATAAAAAGTGATATGCTTTAGGTTTTGCATGGTCACACACAGTACAGGTGCAATCAAATACGCGTGTTGTAAGATGACTGTTCAAGAAACGAAGGTGCAGGTAACTCGACAGCTGGTGGACCTATCCTTGTAGTTTGACATAAGCTTGATAGCGATAATGATCTCCGGAGTAGTGGCATGTTGCATAATGTACATGCTTAACCAATTCGATTGATCAGTTAACTCCTCTAATCTTTAAACAAGTGCAGGGGTTTGATATGCATCTCCTTCTATTTCAACATAATCAATTTAAAACAAATTACTAAGAAATCACTAATTTTCATGGGTTTTTTTAAATTTTGTTGATTTTGTGGGTAATCTTTATCCACAAATTCATAGGTTCACAAATTAAATATATTTTTGATATAAAGCTATTTTTCGTCTAAGAGGGTACTCGTATTCCAAGAATTCATGTACACTCAAAATGGTGTTTTGTCAGAACCAACAAAATTTGGGCTCCACAAAAATATTGGATTTCACAGTAGATTTCTTATGATTTTTTGGTACTGAAGCATCTCTGATGAGTCCCTGTAGAAGGACGAAAACAGCTGCAGGGTGTAGTGTATTTTTGGCATATCTTCTATATCACCAAATTGTACCGGTGTGTCTATACATTGTACATGCTAAAGTTCATCTTTCAAAGGCAATACTGTTTTGGAATTGGTCTTTATTTCAAATCTAATAATGATTGGTGTTTGTCTTATCATATCAGTCATGAGTTGATTTTATTTCAGAGGTTATGCTGTTTTGGAGTAAATCTGATTCTTGAGTTAATCTGGTTCAGGAGTAATGTTATTTTGGAGTTAATCTGATTCTTGAGATAATCTGGTTTAGGAGTAATATTATTTTGGAGTTAATCTGATTCTTGAGATAATCTGGTTCAGGAGTAATGTTATTTTGGAGTTAATCTGATTCTTGAGATAATCAGGTTCAGGAGTAATGTTATTTTGGAGTTAATATGATTCTTGAGATAATCTGGTTTAGGAGTAATATTGTTTTGGAGTTAATCTGATTCTTGAGATAATCAGGTTCAGGAGTAATGTTATTTTGGAGTTAATCTAATTCTTGAGATAATCTGGTTCAGGAGTAATGTTATTTTGGAGTTAATCCTATTTCAAATGTACTGTTGTTTGAGTAGTTTTGGAGTATTAAGTTTGATGCAGTGACGAATTAATTTGAGTTTAAATGTAATGTTTCTTTTTGAGTTTATTTTGTCTTCGAGTTAATGCTGTTTTGGAGTTTAATTTTCCTGGTTTTGGTATAATAAAAGTTTGCGGACTAATATGCACTATTTTGGAGGAGGTGATCTTTTTCTTTGTGAGGATCTTGTTTTTAAAGTAATTTAGCTTTCTGGAAGTTGAATTTGTTTTGAAGGTTAATTTTTCTTAGAATGTGACATTTTGTAGGCGATAGAGGTGATCTTGTATTTTAGGTTGAAATCTAGTTTTGGAGGCGATAGAGGTGATCTTGTTTTTTAGGTTGAAAGCTAGTTTTGGAGGCGATTCGAATAATTCAGTTTGGAATGTGACCATATGGTTTTTGGAGATGCCCTAGCTATAGCATCACCGATATTGTCTCAGTTTAACAATAAGACAAAGGGTCAGCAGGTTTTTTTGTTATACCAGGGCTCTATTTGTTTCACTCAATGCATAATATTTGGTCAAGGGGGCACCATGGTGCAGGCTCATTAAAGTGAAAACCTGAGTTGTAATGTGCCACAGGTATATGTAACTAAGTCAATATAACTACATATTTCTAAAGTATGAAAAAATTGAGCTGTGAAGGAATGAGTTTGGTGCAATTTCACCATCTTACCGCCGTCCGAATCAGACCCGTAGTCAAAACTCTTGTTATCTTCTACAATAAAAGTGTAGCAGCGTTGATAATGTGCTCAAACAAACATAGTTCATACTAAAACTAGCTAAATCCACATACTAAAACTAGCTAAATCTACAACTACATAACTACACATTACACAGATGCAGCTTTAAAAGCAACTAAGGACAAAATTATATATTGATCATATGGATTTATTTTAAACAAAACACATGCTGAAATTGATGCTACACCAAGTTCAATAACCTGTTTCTCAATAATCGAACTTGGTAATTCTGAAGTGACATAATTTGTAAAAAAAGATAGCAATATAATTATTGAACATAAACTTTTATCTTTTTCATGAATCTTACTCTTGGTGTAACTTGTCGGGTCTTATATATACGTGGATCTAAGATTTGGCAGGTTAAAATGAACTTAAAATCTAGAACGAAGAAATAAACCTTTTTGACACAAATATTAGACACAATGCCTTGGTATTTACATTAGAAAAATAACGCTTATTGAGATACTTTTAAAAAGGGTAAGTACAAAATGAATCATTACATGAATAACAGGGACATTAAGACACTTATAAGATAAAACGGAACCTAAATACTTACCAATAAAAGAGTCATCAAATTTCACGCCACTGATCGTGCTTCGGCTCTCGTACATGGAGTTTTTACGGTTTGGATCCAGCAGATTGTTTGACTTTGGCGATGCTGCATTGTTAGTGATGGTCAGTGTGTTGAGTGCCCCTTCACTCCGGTGGCGCCGTCTACCCCCGCCTGCATCAGGGGGAGATAATCCTCCACCTTCTGCATCTTGAGTTGATATTGGGGGTATATTAATTGTGGTAATATGACCATTAGCACTGCTGCTTACCCAGTCAGCCCGGGGTTTAGTGTTGTGTGAAGGAGTGTATTTGTGTCCATTACTGTAGGGTGGAGGACCCCGATCCTCAGATTCAATTGTAAATGCCAGATTCTCCCGACACTCCGCATTTGGTGTAACTATGTTAACATGTTTTAACTCCACCCCCTGGCTATCTTCAGTATTGCGTGGCGGTAAATCCATGCCCTTTGTCAGTCTGAAAATACAATAAAAAATCACTGATCAATACAGCATTCATAAATGATCCAATTAAAATCTGTAGAAAATGAGCAAATGTGCTGAAGTTTGTATGTTGTTTTTTTTCTTTCTAGTTTACAACTTAAGGACTTCCTACCCTTCGTAATACACATGTTTTCTTTATCGTATTTTTGTATTGTCATTTCTGTATTGCGTATCGGGCATTGCAATGCTGTGTAGTGTAAATTATAGTAACACCGGGTAAATATCGGTACACGTGCAGGACGATGATAAATGTCAACACCCCATATCGAGACTTCACTTGGAAATATGTAATCACATGTACTTCAGAAATAAAACTCTATACAAAGACATAAATTGACTCACGGGAAGACACTGACATGAGACCAGGGGACTGGTCATATGTGAAGCGAATGGAATGCGGACTGATGAAATGTACATATCACGTGCTGACATGTACACCAGTTCACAAGCTTGAGGTCTTTACGATTTTTGCTGTCAGGCAAGATACACTCTGTCGAGAAAATCGTTTTTACAAATGCAGTGCACTAACTCTGTATCAATAGTGTTTTATAAAATATCAAGATCTCTATGAAAATACATGTGTGGGTGCACGTGGGAACGCCATACCTGCTAAGTTACAGGTATCATTTTAGACACCACATGTAATGTACATTGTTTTATACCTGTGTGTTTCTCTCAAACATAATTCAAACATTGTATATACTGTTGTGATGCTGATTGGGTAACTTAAGAGATATATGCACAATAGAAAACAAGAACTGTGTACCTCAAAAAGTTCTATTTTTATTATACACATGTACCCTGGATAAAAATTCTCCAATCAGATTGATTATTTATTGGCTAGTACCATGTCATCAACACCAGTAACTAGTATACTGACAGGTCGGAGAGGGACCCTCCCAATTGTGCCTGACACAACTAAATGGTCTGATGATATTTAAATTCCATTAATAAATACATGAAAAACACATTAAAACCTAAAGCCATTTAACAGAAGCCATTAATTCTTGTTCAAAATTTGTAATGGCCATTACTGAATATCCATTAACTCTAAAAGATTTACTTGAATATTCCATTAAATAGGCATAAAAATGACTTAATGGATATTATATTTTCCAGGAAAAAAGTACTACCTGTAGTAATAAATTTTCATTTCAATCATAATAATGAGAATTAAATCATTTTATTCAAAGCCCATGGACAGATATCATTGCCCTTTACCAGCTATTTGATTGCTTAATAGTTACTCACATACCGTAAATTTGCACGTATAGTGCACACTTTTTTAGGTAAATACGTATACCTTCATGTCAAAAAGGGGGTGCGCACTATACGCAGGAACAAGTCATTCTTGGGTTATCGTTCTCGAGGAAATCAAAGCTAAATGTAAAACAATTAACAGTTACAGTACAGGAACTTACAATTAACAAATACAGTAGACTTATAAATCTGCAGGGCTGGCATTACGATCGCCAAGCCGCCAAATGGTGACTTTTTCCAGATTTGGCGACAAATAATTCGGTTTGGCGATATCCTTTGGCGACACAATTTTCACCTACTCTAAAATTATTGAAATCGGTAATCAGTGGTCATGACTGCTGATTTGGCGACAAACACTAGCTGGGCACAGGTAACATTTTTACAGGTAAGTTGACCGGAGGGCATAACCACCGACGCCGTATGATCCCAGACAATAGGTTAGGTAGGATCGCGATGCTTCAGCGAAAATTATTGACACTTCTCAACACCACAGTTACTACAAATTACAATGCAGTATTTAGCTAACACTCTATCAGTGATAACCGATAACAATAGCTCTATTGCAATTTAATTGAAATTATTTGCAGTCGCGATTGAGGAACTGTGTTGTTTTCACTCCTCAACACGTGGCGTGAAACCCTACATACTGCACTGTAGAACTACAGACTGATTTGACCGTAAAGGGATTATAAAAAATATGTTTATACTAGAAGCGTGGACATTCAATACATCCCCTTCAAATCTACTCAAAGGGGAAAAAATAAAAGCAGAATACACTATTTTTATGATGTTTCATTTTAAAATATCAAAATAATTCACGAGGTTATCGATCCAAGTTTACCTAGTGTTGAAGCGAGATCAACATGAAAGTGAGGCGGGAAAAAACATGCACACTAGGCTTCGCGATTTGGTAAAAAAACAACAGAACTAACATGGAACAGAGCCAATAATTGAAACACTACATTTTCATAATTATGGGAAAACCGCTGAGATGTCGAAACATAAGTTGATCGGCGATTCTCCGGCATCGGAATTAGCTACACTTTCTTCGTTTGGTTTTCCCACACCCACTAGATACTAAAACCGACAAATTCGGCAGGATTCGTCCATCATCCACTCATTCCAAGTGATACGGAGAAAGACCTTCATGGGCTTGTTCACTCCAATAAATCAATCGTTAATTAATCAGCGTTATAAACACCAAGCTACCTTTGATGCTACTTTTCCAGTTTGATAATAAAAAAAAAACCATTTATTTTCCATTTTTTTTCTTCAAATCTGACCCCAAAAACATACCTGCGCACTATACCTGAGTGCGCACCAATACTCGCAAATATACGGTTATCTTGTCATGGCTATTATTTCCACTTTGGGGAGAAAATATTGACCATTTATATTGTACACTGAATATAGAATTGTGGAAATAATGGCCATTAACTCTGGATATAATGGTTAACTTGCAATCTAATGGTCATGAATGTGATGATGCTTTTTGAAACCTCCATAACACAATACAACATCCTATCTAATTTTCAGAAAATTAGTCTATTGAATTCTGAGATAAGGATTGTACACTCCCCCTGATCTCATTTTAGTAAATTGACCTTTACCTTGATCTTAGAAACAGTTTTAAAACCCCTATTGTACATCTACATGTCACAGTGTATCAATTTTCAAAAATCTTCATTTTTTGGACTCCTTCATAAACTTCGGAAAAGAAACTGTGGAGGGAAGGATAGACATACACCATTATTACTAAAGCGCTGATGCTAATTAAGCATCTCAAAATCCTCTCCTCTTGGGTCCGAGTTCATTTAGTACATACAATCTGTTGTTGGATTTTAGACTAAAATTTCTTTTGGATGCTTTATAAATATTATGTCAGACTTAGAACCCTTTCACTATAGGCATGTGGAATCCAACTATATGTAAACCTAATCATTTAGAATCAACAGCCAGTTTCCTGGTGTTTACAACCCCTCCAGGCCTGGATGTCTAGTGTTTTATACACCATCCCAAACCCAGTAGCACCTGTCCACAATCACAGACAGGTACCGTGAATAATTCATCAGGCAGTGAACACTCCATGCCAGGGTATATTGTAATTACAGATTTACCCGGTAACATGGCTGTAGCTCACCACATCAGCTTGAGGTGGCAGTCTGCATCCAATCTTTACCTAAACAAACAATGCTTGGGTGTGTCACATTAACGTTATAATAATACTTCCCTGGACTCGGAAGAAAACATTGAGGAAACCAATAGGTTTCGTTATGAAGGAGACCAGTCCCAGATTTATCTTATGTAACAGTAGATAGATACAAGTTTTGATTGTGATAACACAAGGCCCAGATTTTATATGGATATTTTAGAGTAAAGGCAAATCATAACAGTTCCTGAGGCATGATCTGTCAATGTTCATACATATTAGTCCAAAGATTCCTTGATAAGTGTCATTCATGGATTAAGGCAGCATAGAGCACCCACTATAATAATGAGTTTCAATACACAAATCAACACTGACAGTCTTATGGTTACAGACTTTTCTATTCAGGAAAATAAACATCATATTATATTGTAACATACGGGCAGTCACCCATCCAACTACTGACCACATTCGACTTTGCTGAACTAGTGAGCGGGTCCCAGGGTTATATCGCATCACTGGATTTTCCCCTCATATACCTAAGCTGTTACACCATTCCCCCTCCAAGAAGTCTTGTCCCAAGACTTGACCTGGGGAATCCCTTAGGTCCTCCAGGATCCCAGTGTATCAATGCACCTTCCCTAACCACCAGGAACTGACCTTAAATGATCACAGAAATCCCACCGCAGTCACCAAACCGCTGCACCCATCCGATTCTGACCATGCTCCAGGTTGCTGATTTAGTGAGTGGGACCCCGGGTTATACCACATCACTTGAAATTTTCCCCTTATATACCTTAATCAAGTAGCTGTTACAATATCACTGTACAGCACACACTGCATCTCTGATGTCTGGGTAAGACAATTAAATCCAGCAAACATTTACACCTGGGCATCAGGTGTGGAAAACAAAACTTGTCTAGATGTATGTAGGGATTGATTGCATGGTAGACATATTTCAAAATAACCCCAATAGATTAATTATGAAATAGACTCCAATGGACAGTGAAACTTCAAATTATTTATACCAAAAATAAGATGCTTCGAAAGCAGAGAAACACATTGTATCAGAAATTATACAAAAGATGTATATTTCATAGATTACATTATTTGCCATATCGCCTAAAGGATCAATACCAATCAGACATATATATATATAGATTTGCTCATTCCACTCTATGATGTACTTGGAGTCCTGCAATATATTTTACCACCAATAATCACCACTAATTTACTCACATCAACATTGAATTTATACTGTTCCTGAGAACAGGCTACATAAACATTTCTGAGGCCTGTGCACCAGGATAGAATCTATAAACAATCAGTGTGGCCTGGTTCCTTTGGTAAGCTTGTCAGCTAAGCTGTAGAATGGATGAGGAGAATAGATTTTGTCAGTGTTTAGGTAAATATGTCCAACCGTTTTCAGTGATGGCCCCAACCCAGAGGTTCTACTACATGCTAAAAACGTAAAGATGCCTATCTAATAGGACACCTGTATCAGATTGATCCCTGGGACTGTCCAATACACACAAGCTTGTGTTGATACAATAAATATCCAATGTTTA